CTTGCAAGCTGAAGCAGGGAACTGCTAAGGCAGCTGCACCCTGGTGCGACCATCACAAACAAGAGATCCGAGAACTAGAAAGGTGAGGCTCACCACCCATTTATCCCTCCGCCTTTCAATTAGCCCCACAAGTGTTTTTCGGCCAGGTTGGCACAATTAACTAACTCACCAGGGTTCAGTGCTTGACACACAACTCCTCTGAGTAAATGTGAAAGAACGGGTGAATGAATGGAGTCAGTTCCATGTCTCATGCATGAGGAGGGAAGATGGACATCCTGTGCCACTCCTACAACGCACAAAGGTGTCCCTGTCTGTGGTCCTCAGACCCTTGCCCTACACACTCACACAGCAGGCAGGGGCTTGCTACCCAAGATGCATGTCAAGCAGGGTACCTAGGCATTTTGTGAATAGACCTCATTCTTCTGGATGAACTCTCGATTGACCACAGGGGCCTCAGGCACTACCGAAGAGTCTGCAGGAGCCGTTATACAATTTGAGGCATGTGTGTAAGGCTTCCTGATGGCACAGTGTGTTAACCGTTGGACTGTTAACCCAAAAGTTGGTGGCTTGACCCCACAAGCTGTGAGTCTGAATCGGCTGGATGGCCGTGAGTTTGGGTATGGATGTACTGATAGCCTGGGGCCTTCTTGAAAGGCGTCCTGGTGGAGGGTATTACCAGTTGGGCTGCTAACCACAAGGTCAGTAGTTTGAACCTACCAAAAAGATGAGGCTTTCTACTCCTCTAGAGAGTTACAGTCTCGGAAACTCACAAGGGCAATTCTCCTCTATCGTACTGGGGGGCTAAGAGTTGGAATCCCCTTGATGGCAGTGAGTTTGATCTGGTTTGGGGCCTTCTGTATAATATAGGAATATAGGCATGCACGCAGTAACCTGGCCCACACCAAGCCCATTCTGGGGAAATGCACCCCAGACCATTGTCTTAGCTTTAATTTGCCTTGGGGAAGCCACTAAGTGCTGGGCTGCAAACTCACCCATTGGTTCTCCGGCAGAAATACCTGGCAACTTGCTACCACAAAGATGGCAGCCTGAAACCTGCTGGGGCAGCTCTGCTCTGTCACGTGGGGTCTCTGTGAGCCGAATCCTCTCTGCAGCACCTGCCAACAAGATAGCCGCCATGCTTGTTCCCACGTGACCCTGGTTGTTTCTGAAAGTACCGAGTTTCCAGGAGGTCTCCCAGCCCGCCCTGGAAGAGCTCAGTCCTCCAAGATGCAGAAACAACACCCCCTTCTCAGACCAGCACCCACTGGAACGGGCTGGGCCCAGCTGTCTCTGGATCCAGTCCACCCCCATCCTCTCCCCCCAGGATGTGAGTCTGTCCACCGGGTCTCTCCGCAGTGAGGTGTGTGTGTCCGGATGCAAGACACCAAAAAGGCCCACCATTGCCTACTGCTCCATTTGGCTCTTTCCTGATCCCCTCTCCGACCCCAGCCTGCTTCTGAGACGGTGCTTCAAAGGTGGTTTCCCTTCGTCTTCTCGGTAAGGATGGCTTTGCTCCAGGGCCTGGGGGTGAAGGTGGGTAGCTTGGCATAATTAGGGGAGGCTCTGACCTGACACTATGTAAACAAAGCAGGTGCTTAACCCTTCAATCTCCTTTGCACCCTGCTCTTCTGGGTTGTGAAAGGAGACGCGTGAGATGACCTGTGTTCATCGTCTTGCTGTGGGCGTCCCCTGTATGTCTGGCCGACCTGGTGAGATCACAGCCTCTTCAAGGGTCTGTTCTCCCCCAGATTTGCTTCTTTCTGATGGGCCTCAGCTCTTACCTCTTGAATGGATGTTTTGCTCCTTGACATACCTGGGCCTCCACCAGGACAGCTCTCCGAGGGTAGCCCCAGGGCTTGGCACACAGTGGAGGGTCCAAAACACCCTTACAGACCGAGTCAAAGCAGCTCCCCAGATACCAGCCAGATACCTCTGGTGTCTAGTCAGTTCAATTCTGACAACGTTTTGGGAGGACCTAGTGTGTGCTCATTGCCATGGGAGATATTAAAGGTGCAGAGGGACTATTTCTGCCTCCCAGGGGGCCACACAAGTACCAGTAGCCACGGTAAAGACAGAATGCAGAGAAGAATTATAGTAAGACTTACAGAGGCACCAGCCACATGTGTTTAACCTGCAAGGATGGGACAAGTGTCCCTTCAGCCATAGTGGGACACATGTGCCCATCCTGGAAAGATGGGTGTCCATGCAGCCTCACAGGGAGACATGTGCTCACCCTGGAAGGACTGGCCAGGAAGAACCTGAGTGGGACATAGGACCCTTCAGGTCTCAGGATGATGCTGGCCTATGCCTCCACTTGCCCATGTGGGATAATGACCCTGGTCTACCTGCAGCCCCCAAGGGGGAATTAGGGGCTTAGAGATATGTCCAGGCCCACGAGGTTGAAAAGGCAGGGCGACAGGTTTATTGTGATGCACGGTCTCCTTGAGATGCCTATTAAAAGACAAGTTCCAGCTTCCCTCTCTGCCTGCCTCCTGGGAGATTCCCACGCTCATAAATGGCATTAATGACTTTCTCCCGCCTTTTATGTTGTCAGGAGGCTTGCCCGCTGCCTGATAAAAGGCAGGCACTTTGACAGCCCCAGTGAGACCTGGAATCCTCTCAGGCCGCTTCTTCTCATCCCTGGTACGTTCTGTGGGGCAGAGACATGGCCAGCCGTTCCTACCGCATCAGCTCCGGCTGCACCACCCGCAATTTCAGCTCCTGCTCTGCTGTCCTGCCCAAGCCCGGGGCTCACAGCTGCTTCAGCGCAGTCACCTACCGAGGGGGCAGCCCCGGGGGGCCAGGCTACAGGCGCCTCAGCGGCTTTGGCAGCCGGAGCCTGTGTGCAGTGGGGTCCCCCCGGATTGCTGTGAGTTGCGGGAGGCCCCTGAGAAGTGGAGGCAGCTTTGGCTACCGGGCAGGGGGTCTTGGTGGGCCCATCCCATCCTGCATCACCAGCGTGACGGTCAACGAGAGCCTGCTGACGCCCCTCAACCTGGAGATCGACCCCAACGCGCAGTGCGTGAAGCACGAGGAGAAGGAGCAGATCAAGTGCCTCAACAACAAGTTCGCGGCCTTCATCGACAAGGTGGGTGCCCTGGGGTTGTGACATGACCCTTGGAGCCCTGAGCCCCCCGACAGTGCCCTACTTTCAGAACACAGTGCAGGCCTGCCAGCGGAGTTTCTGCCAAAGGAGAATCCATTCCCAGGGACATACGGGCTTTGGGTCAAAGTGAGTTTCTCTTGGCTGTAGCCCGGTGGGCCCACTTCCTCGCTGGCTGGCAGCAGGGGTGGGAGCTCAATTTTGAGAGGTTGACTGCATTCTTTGGCTCGTGGCTTCCTTTCCTTCAGCTTCAAAGCCAGCCATGGTGGGCTGTGGCCTCTACTTTTCAATGTCTCTCGCGCTTCTCTCTGCCTTCCTCTTCCACCTTTAAGGGCACTTGTAATTACACCAGGCCCCTTGAAACCCACTACCATGGAATCGATACTGACTCATAGCAACCCTATAGGACAGGGTAGAACTCCCACTGTGGGTTTCAGAGACTGTAACTCTTTTTAGGAGTAGAAAGCCTCATCTTTCTCCCTTGGAGTGGCAGCTGGTTTTGAACTGTTGACTTTGAAGCCTGAACCATAACCCAATACGCCACCGTGGCTCCTGGGCCCCTCTGGATAGTCAGGGGATTATCTCCAGATCTTCAGTTCCATAACCTTCATTCCATCTGCCAGGGCCAGTTTGTCATGTGATGTAACATTCACCAGATCCAGGGATTAGGGGGTGGGTAACTTTCCAAAAAACCAAACTCATTTCCATCAAGTCAATGCCAAATCATAGCAACCCTATAGGACAGGGTAGAACTGGCCCTGTGAGATTTCCAGACTGTAACTGTTTACAGGAGTAGAAAGTCCTATCTTTCTCCTCCTGAGTGGCTGATAGTTTCAAACTGCTGACCTTTTGAATTTCAGCCCAATGCATAACCACTATGCCATCAGAGCTCCTGTGGGTAACTTTGGTGGGGCATTCTTCAGCCTGCCACATATGCTCTAGAGGGCATTTCTAGGGTCAGATGTGATTTTATTTCATGCAGAATAAATATACCACTCCATATTATGTGCTCTTTGGGGGAGGGGGAGATGGGACGGAAGAGAAGGGGTCACGCTCAGACTTTGATAAATGATTTGTCCACCTGGGCCTGGTCAAAGACTGCTTCAGGTCAGAGATCATCCCCAAGGGCAGAGAGAGTTTTGGGGGACTGGCCCGTTCTCCCTCAGAGCTTCCCGCTGGTCTCTCTCCCCCCATCCTGGACGGCAGGTGCGCTTCCTGGAGCAACAGAACAAGCTGCTGGAGACCAAGTGGCAGTTCTACCAGAACCAGCGCTGCTGCGAGAGCAACCTGGAGCCCCTGTTCAACGGCTACATCGAGACGCTGAGGCGGGAGGCCGAGTGCGTGGAGGCCGACAGCGGGCGGCTGGCCTCGGAGCTCAACCACGTGCAGGAGGCCATGGAGGGCTACAAGAAGAAGTGAGCAGGGCTGGGCTGGGCATGGTTATGGTGAAGTAGGTCTCAGGTGGATGCCGTGAAACTGCCAGAGATGGAGACCTCAGAGGGACGGCCAAACCGCCCTAGACGGCTTATCGGATTGTTCTGTCCTTGGCCTGCTCTGTTTCGTCTTGGCTTGGGACGAATGCGGCCGGCCCCGATGAGGGGACAGGGGAAAACTTGGGCAAGAAGAGCAACTCCAAGCCTAGAAGAGGTGGGACACACATCCAGGGCCTAAGCTGACCCAGAGATGGGGAGAAAGGCACTCGCAGAACGGGTGGGGCTGAGCCAGCAGAGCTCAAGAGCAGGCCTTGGGAGCCGTCCGCTCTAGGGTGGGCTGGAAGGCAAAAGTCCTGGGCCAGGTAGCTTCTCCACCAGCTTCTGTCATCCAAGAGGCCTGGATGATTCTTCACAAGCTCTTGTTCTGCACAGTGTTCTTCCATAATGCACCAGGTGAACCTTTCGCTTCAAAGGGGATTATTTAGTTTGGCCAACCCTAGTCTACACTCCACTGGGTAACTTGGCCCTCTCTCCCCACAGTTATGGAAGATGAAGGGTGAGGTTGGCATTCATTAGTCAGGGTGGTGCTAATAGTCTCAGAATCCTGGTCTTGGAAGGTCCGGTTGTACCATCCTGACAGACCCAGAAGTCGGCCTTGACTTGGGGGTGATGCAATTACGGATACGAGCCCCAATTTGTAGGTGTCAGGGTCTGCTTGCACTCTGGGGGTGTAAGGGCTGATAATTATAGACTGAGGGTTTATGGCAGCCCTAATTGCCCGGTATTTAAAATGTTATGGAGACCGCTCTCTGGGAACGCTGATCCTGTTGGTTGGCTGGGCAGGGATGCTCTGGAGATAAGGCCCCGTGGGTAACAGGAAGGGCCCCGGTTGGTGGAGGAGGGCTGTGGAAAATACTCTGAGTGGTCTGGGCACAGTGGCACAGTTCCAGGCCACTGTGGTGGTTACTGGCTTGGATCTTGGGGACAGGGGCACAGAATGACACTGGGGGTGGCTTCATAGATTAGCATTATGCTTGGACACAGTTCCGCGCTAAAAGGGAGCAGTGGCAGTTTAGTGTTGGACGGCTTGTCTTCTATGTGGGAGACCGAGGATCGAACCCCAGCCACTGTCCCTCAGCCACAGTCATACCCCATCTGTCCGTGGGAGGCTTGCTAGGATGTTGGACGGATTTCCGTGGAGCTTCCCGACTTAGACAGATTAGGAAGAAAGGTCGGCTGGCCTCCTGGAAAATCAGACAATGTGGCCCGGTCCTATGGTGAGTGGGGTCGCCATCAGTCAGGAGCCAACTCACTGGCAGTGAGCATTAGTCTTTCATTCATTCTGCAAACATTTCCTGAGAACTCCATTGTACAGTCAGCATTTTAAGCCAAGGTGCAGAGCTTACATGACTTGCCCTACGTTTATAGCTACTTCGGTCAGACCTGAAGGTCTACTTCAGAGGCTAGATGCCAAGGACTTAGACTACAGGTCCAATGTCCTTTTAATGGACCCTTTATGGCTGGGAAATAAAAGTCCAGGGAGGCCAAGCTCCCCTCTGACAAGGCTCAGGGGAAGAGCCAGCTGAAGTTCTCAGCCCCAGGGACATTTCTGCCTGTGCTCTTTCTCATCAGGTACGAAGAAGAGGTAGCGCTCAGGACCACGGCTGAGAATGACTTTGTAGTGTTGAAGAAGGTAAGTGACTCTTCACACACACAGGGAGGATCCAAATTCTGGACATGGGATGTCTGCTCATGCTCACTCTAGTCAGCCTGGAGGTAGGAAGGCACTCAGGCCCCCTGGCAAAGGAAGGCCCATTGGTTTGACTGTGGCCTCTGCGCAGAGACCCAGGCAGGGTTGACAGACACCTGACAAAGGAAACCTCATCCAGTTGCTGGAGGGCTTTGTAGAAGCTGTCGATTCACTGAAATGCTTGCTTTTCCATCGGCTTTGATGTGAGCACTGCCTCCTCCATCGGATCCATGCTGGGTCTCAACTTGCTAGTGATTGTGTGAGCTCTGGCCCTCAATCGGGACAATTGCAGAGGGTCAGCAGACTAGCTGGGGAAGCAAACAAACAAACCTGATATTGCTTTTCCTCTGGTGGAAAACAGGGGTGTGACAGTGTCTTTAGTAATAGTGAGAGGCCATGATGGCGCTGTGGGTTAAGCACTGGGCTGCTCACTGCAAGGTTGGTGGTTCAAACCCACCAGCTGCTCTGAAGGAGGACAATGAGGCTGACTGCCCCCATGGAGTTGCGGTCTTGGGCACTTCCGTGGGGCTGCTACAAGTTGGGATGGACAGGAGGGGAGTGGGTTCGGTTTGGGTCATAATGACCGGTGTCCCAGTCACACTCCTTGTGACTGATCATGGAATGGAGAGATCCAAAGCAGCTGCTGTCCAATGAACTCTAACCCTGGGGACCCCATGGGCACCCCAAGGGGAACTGTGCTCCGCAGAGCTTCAGTGGCTGGTTCTTCACAACTAGAGGACCGAGTCTTTCTTCCAAAACATATCCAGTAGGCGTGAACCCCCAGCAGGGTGGGTGGTAGCCAACCGCGTTAGCCCTGGGTACCTTTCTGAAAGGAGAGGGGGCTGGTAAGAACACTGCCAGTAGAGGTGTCTTCTTGATCTGGGGCAGAAGAGTCAGCTTTTAGGGTAGGTGGAGTAGGGTGGATGTTGCTTGACCCGGGAGACCTATCAGTAGGTACACCGTGGTTCTGTGGACCACACACGCGCATGCCCCATGAGCCCCTTGGGCTTAGACACCTAACATTTGAGGCAATGACGGAGGCTTCCTTCTTCAGCACAGCCTGCGGGTCTGGAGGGGTCCCGCTTTTCCTAGGTGGAAATGTCTGGTTCCGCTCACGCTTGTGTATTCCGAGATCAAGTCCCCCACCCCACCTCTCTCCTCCTCTCTCCTCCTATGTGTTGGCATTAAAGGCCCTGTCTCTTCTAAAGAAGCCTGGAGGATAAAGATGAAAGGTCAAGGGTAGACTTATAAAGTGCACGTTAGGTAAGCAGCAGCCGAGAGGCCAAGAGACAGGCACAGGGTTCCCTTCAGAGGAGTGAAGAGGGCTCCGGGCCATGATGAGGGGGCTTCTCCCACAGCCGCCCCTCTCTGTCTGTCTCCACCAGGACGTGGACTGCGCCTACCTGCGCAAGGCGGACCTGGAGGCCAATGTGGAGGCGCTGAGGGAGGAGATCGGCTTCCTGCAGTCCCTCTACCAGGAGGTGAGCCTCTTGCTGCTCTGGAAGAGCTGCTGGGGGACGAGGCAGAGGAGGGTTTTCCCAGGGAGTGGCCTGTCCCGTGTCCGGTCCCGTGTCTCAGGGAGTGGCCTGACCCGTGTCCTTCGTTCTGGGGACAGTTCTTAACTCTCCTGGGTTCTGAATGTCCTTTCCTTCTGGGCCCAGCAGCAATGGTCTCTGGGTAGTGCTCTAAGGCCCTGGGTAGAATAATCCAGACAGCTGGCTCTGTGGACCAGGCCTTGAGCGGGCGCCCACCAAACTTTCCTGACTGCTGCCAGGTTGAGACGTTCCTTCCAAAGCTGGGAGAGTTGGGGCTGCTCTTTGGATGGTTGGTGGGGTGAAGGTGGGTTGGGAGCTGAGGGCCTCTGGGGCTTGTCTCCGGCAGGAAATTTGCCTCCTCCAGTCCCAAATCTCAGACACCTCAGTCGTGGTGAAGATGGACAACAGCCGGGAGCTCAACATGGACTCAGTGGTGGCAGAGATCAAGGCCCAGTACGATGCCATTGCCAGCAGCAGCAGGGCTGAGGCCGAATCCTGGTACCAAACCAAGGTGAACAGGAGGGCTGGGGGCATGTGTGAGCCCACCATGGTCCTGGGCCTTCCCTGGGAAGGGAAGCCCGGCTGTAGCCGAAGTCCAGAGCAAGCAGACGGTGGTGGTGAAGCAATAGCAGCGTGGTGGCCTGGCTCCCCTGGGTGGGGGAGGCTGGACGAGGGACAGGGATGGGCAGCACCACAGCTCCGCTGCACCCGTGGGCTGTTTCTGCATGTCTGCCTCCCTCCCTGCAGTGCGAGGAGATGAAGACCACAGTCACGCAGCAGGGCGAGAACCTCCGCAGAACCAAGGAGGAGCTCAGCGAGCTGAACCGGCTGATTCAGAGGCTGACGGCCGAGGTGGAGAACGCCAAGCAGCAGGTGAGGGAGAAGCCGAGATCCCAGGGGTGCTTCCCACCGGCTTTCCTCCTCCCTCCGGGGGCTGCTATTTTCTTTGGAGGGGCTTCGAACTTCTGAAGGAGCACAGCTCACCAGAGATTGCAGGCTGAGGGTCGGTCTGTCTCCCTTCTATGAACCTTACTCTCTTCTCTTTCTCCCTTGACCATTTCTCTCCCAGGCGTCGTAGGTTTGAAACCACCAGATAGGATGAGCCTTTCTGCCTTTCTGCTCCTGTAAAGATCTACCCTCTCGGAAACCCACAAGGGCGGTTCTGTTCTGTTCTAGAGGGTTGCTGTGAGTCAGAATTGACTTCATGGCATCAAGCTTGGTTTTGCGGGGGAAGCTTTGCTGGGACAATATGGTTTAGGGCGGTAGGACAGAGGCTGCCTTTTGCGTTGTCTCTCCGTCTTCACAACTCTCTGCGTTTTGTTTTGTTTGGGGCTCGTTAGTTGCCAGCTGTTTCATCTGTATTATGCTGGGGCAAGACTTTAATGCCTTTGTACTTCACACGAAGGGGCCTTGGCAGTGGAGTGGATGACCCACTGGCTGGCGAATGGCAAGGCTGGTAAAGATTCCGTCTCGGAAACCCCGTAGAGGCAGTTGCACCTAGGAGCGTGAGTCGATTCAATGGCAGGGAGTTTGAGTGACACTATATTTGTTCTTTTTTCCCCCCCAAGTATTTATTGTGAATTGGAAGAGAGTTTACAGAGCAGAGCCTCAGTTTTACATCCAACGATTCAGACGCATTTTGTTTCAACTCATCCAGCTCGATCCCTTCAGCACAGCAACACCCTTCACGTTGCCAGCTTTCTCCCTGCGTCTCCTGTTTCCGTTCCTCCTTTCTCCCTAACCCTCTGAATTTTGTCCCTGGGTAAGTGCTGCTCTCAGACTGGTTGACGATTCTACCACAATAGCGAGTCCAGCTTCAGATCTGAGAGGTGACTCGGGGCTGTCGTTTTGGGGGTCTCGCTTGTCTTCTGACCGAGCACCCTGGGCTCTTCTGCGGTGGTCAGTTCTGTTCTACTTTCCCCTCTATCCAGAGCCTTCTCATGGGATCCCTTTCAGACCAGTTGGTGATGGCGGCCGGGCACCATCTAGTTCTTCTGGTCTCAGAGCTGTGGAAACGGATGTTCGTGAAGGTCGTCTACTTCACTAAACGTTTCCATACATCTTTCCATTTTCATCACTGTCTTTTTCTCCAGATTTGGGGGGTGGGGGAGCGGGGAACCAGTGGGTACACTTGAGAGGGCAGCTCAGGAGATTTTAAGAGCCCAGGTGCTGCTCATCCAAATAGGGTGTAGGATGCGGTCTCTTTGAATTATGTTATACCAACAGACGCTGAGACAATGGTCCCGATCCCCAGGACCCCAAGGAGTTTGGTTAGGTATTCAAACGTTTGCATTAAAAAATGTGTGTCCTGTGTGCTCCACCGCATTCATGGAGATGTTTGCAGCCAAAGTCAATGCACCTATGCAAATATCTTCGGTCCAATCTGTATAGATTTGCACGCATACTCTCACTCCCCCTCCCCCATCTGTTCAGCCTGTATGTCTTTTCAAGCCCCGGGGTTTAGTTCCCCACAATCGCAGGAGTGTGTCTATCGTAGTGTTTGCCCTCGATTGACTTTAACTCTTGCAAGCCCCCAGTGTTTCAGCCTGCTGCCATCATGGTTTACAACTTCCCTCTTGCTGTAAAGGGTCTGCCCCTTCGCCCCAGTTCACAGCCATCTCCCTGATAGTCTGTGACTCCCCCCCACCCCCCTTTCCCCCTCACTCTCCTTAACCATCAAAGTATGTTTCTTTCCATGTGGAAACCTTCCCTTGACTTTCCACAATAGCAGTCTCCTACACTATTGGCTGTGTTGGGCTTGGCTAATTTCACTCAGCCTAATGTCCTCCAATCCATCCATGCTCTGAGGTGTCTTGCAGATTCATCGTGCTTCTTCAACCTTGCACAGCATTCCACTGTGTGTATGCGTCGCGGTTTATTTAGTCAGTCTTTCTCTCCCGGGCATTTGGGTTGTTTCCATCTTTGTAGCTCGCAAATAGTGTTGTGATGAACACGCATGTGCATGCATCTGTCCACGCTGAGGCTCTAACTTCTTTAGGCTATAAGTGGAGTAGAGGGATTGCTGGGTCAGCTTTTTTGAGCAAGCACCCTACCACTTTCTGCAGTAGCTCATGACTCGTTCTGATGGACTTGAGGTGCAGAGAAAGGAATTGTCCACTCCGTCGAGGGGAATGCTATCAACACCTGTCCATTTTTATTGTTAAGAGTTTATCTCTACATCTTTCATCCAATTCCCTTTCTCACATCCAGTGGGCCTTCTCACAGAATTAGTATATGTCTATGAGCCCTGGGTGGTGCACAGAGTGAATCCAACTTCCAATGGGAAGATTGGCGGTTTGAGGCTACCTCGAGGTGCCCTGGCAGAATGGCCTGGAGATCCTGCTGAGAGACTACAGCCTTGGAAACCCCACAGAGAGCAGTTCCATTCTGAAACGCACGGGGCAGCCATGAGTGGAAGTTGACTGAAGACAACTGCTTTTTCTTCCGGGTCTAGCAGTTCTTTATCTCTATGTTTACCAATATACATATGTAGATCAACCACAAACACAACTCACTGCCGATGAATCCATTCCTAGCTGCAGGACAGAGTAGAACTGTACCTGTGGGTTCCTGAGACCTGAGACTACCACTCTTTGTGGGACTCGAAGGCCACCCTGGTAACCACCGTGCTACCAGGGCTCCTCTACATATATCTAGGCACCTTTCATGCATGCTTTTTGGTGTTTTCAATTTATGTGATAATATTATGCCAGGAATCTCACGCTGGCTCTTTGCCAGGTGACATCTTGTCTCTGAAAGTCACACAAGCTTGCTGTCAGTGAGTTGGCTCGCTCTTTCTGACTGCCCGTCAGGATGGCATTCTGTACTTTCCTGTCTGTTCCCCACTGATGGAGACTTCGTTTGCCTCCGAGTCGTTGCTACTGCAATCAGCCGTATCACAAACATTTCCGTAGGGTTTCTATGTGCATCCGTGTGCCACGGGCTCCGGAGGTACCAAGCAAGCGATGGAATTGCTGGGTGGTGAGGTGTACGGGAGTGTCCATGCACCTGGAGTGCTGCGCGGAGTATGTGGCCGTTGTCACCACCTGTCGGTTCCTGCTATGGTGAGGTTTCTCATTTGTTAGGACTCTAACAGGCATAAGCTGACGTCTCACATGATTTCACTGTTCCCGTCTCTGGGTTCCAGTTCTCCCGGAGTCCAGATTTCTGGGGTCCATGGAGGTGAGGTGATCTACTCAGGCCATTGTGTTGGGATGTTCTTTGAACCTTGAGCCTTGAGGGTACTGGTTCCCCAAAGTCTCCATGAAGCCAAGCACTCGCCTAGTCCGTAAAGTCAGCGTTGCGCTGGGCACGGCGCTCTTTTGAAGAATTATCCACAAGTAGTCTGTTTCAAGAAGCAGAAACCCCAAGGTCGGACTAGAACTCTGTGTGAGGGTAAATCTGTGATTATTCTTCAGAAACAGTGCTGTGTGAAGTTCTTCCGGATCACCGTTTCTTTTCCCGGCTCTATGCTGGCCGGTCTCCACAGCCACGCTGGTCCCGCAGGATAAGGAGAATCTTTGCAACTTCTTTTCTCTCTGCAGCAGCTGGAAATCTCCACCTGCTGGACAGGAGAAAGACGGGGCTTTCTACTCCCGTAAAGAGCGACAGTCTCAGAAACCCACAGCGGCCGTTCTCCCCTGGCCTAGTAGAGACAGTCGCTCGATTCACGAGCCACATGCTATCCATCAGCTTCTATTATTGACTTCGTGTCATCTTAACACTGGTGAGGCTGAGTATCTCCTCATACTTACTAGTCCTTTGTGTTTTCCCCAATAAGAACTGCCTATTCATAGCATTTGTCCACTTAAAAAAAAAAGGAGTATCCCCGGATCTTATCTTAGTAGTTTGCAGTATTTTTTTCCCGTTTGTTTTGGAAGTTTAATTGTGAATTGGGGGAAGGTTTTACAGAAGAAAGCAGATTTCTGGCCAGTAATTCATACGCCTGGTAGTTCATTGATTGCTGTCGCTGCAATGTGGTATCACTTCTACACTCTCTCTGCTTCCCTTCCCCCTTTCTCTCCTAAGCCTTCTGAACCTTTTCCTTGGGCCAGTGCTGCCCGGCTAATCCCAAATGACTGGTGTGTGCACCTCCCTAGTGCCAATTGTTCCCATTAGAGACCTGTCTGTTGTTTGGATGAAAACAGAGCCACCGAGATGAGTTTGTTTCAAGACCTGAAGGGGGTCTGAGTGATCTGCAGTATGTCCTTGTCCACCCTAGAAGTGGGAGCCCTGGTGGCATAGGGGTTACGCATTGCCTATTAACTGCAAGTCTAGCAGTTTGAAACCACTTACTGCTCCCCGGGAGAAAGAAGAGGCTTTCTCCTCCCATAAGAAGTAACAGTCTCAGAAACCCACAGGGGCAGCTTTTCCTTCCTTTTGGGTTGCTGTAGGTTGGAACAGACTTCATGGCAGTGAGTTTGTTTGTTGGTTTTGTTTTGGGTTTTGATCTTAGATGTGCATGTAGCACATCACGTTCAAGTTTGATGTTTCTCCATACAGCGAGAAAATGAATTATGTACTCCTTTCTTTCTCCCACTGATACATGATACTACTTTTGTTATCATGCCTCGTTCCTGGTTAGACCGCCCTCCGTTTCGGTCCTCTTCCTTTTTTGGTGTTGTTCTGAACCAGCGGGTGAGATGACTCACAGGTGATCTGTGACCATTCATAACTAAAGTTCTGAAATGTGCAAGCACTTTCCTTTTTTGAAAATGGAATTAGAGACAGCTCACAGTTGTCCTTGTAGTAACAGCACACTCACTTGGATTCGGATGTACTTATTTTTACCCCCGTGAGGTAGAAGGACAAGGGGTAGTCGGTGAGCTGGCCATTGTAAATGGGGAATTGTTTTGGCAAGCTGACCTAGGTGGCCCGGAGAGTGAGATTCTGGGCAGCAGCCTTTGCAATCTGGGGTTGGGCACTCTTAATGGAACATCCCACGCCACGTCACGGCTCTCCACGGCTCAGTGCCTTCATCTGCATCGTGGGAACAACAATTCTACCTGTTCTGGAAATCTCGTGGACTCGTTTTTTTTAAGGTCAAGTAAGATAACTGTGAAAGCGTCTGAGAAACTAACAAAGATAGACAAATTGAGTTCGACCATAAAGTAGTATGAAATAATGGCACAACTCCAAATAAGCTATTATTTTCCTGCCTAGTTAATTTCCCCACTGAAGTATTTCCTTTTAAAGAAGGATAAAGTTCAAAAGTGAACTGTTTTTATTTCAAAAGTTAAGAATTACTTTGAACAGTTTGATTGACATATAATTCACATGCTGCATAATTCAATGATTCAAATATATTAAAAAGAGTTGCACAATTTTCACCACAGTCAGTTTGAGGACTTTTTTTCCCCATTCTTGTATCCCTTGTCATTCGCTCTTCACTCCCCTCCAGCCTCCCCTGCCATAACTCTATTATCTAGTGACTATCTCTATAGAGCTGTCGATCCTGGATTTCATATCAAGAAAATCATACCAGAAAACCCAGCAACAACAACTAAATAAGACAAGAAAAACAGTAGTCCAAGAGAAGTAAGAGAGACTAGGACACATTGAAAAATGGGCTAAAAGGGAAAACAAGTGATACTATGTTCCATTTTAACCTAGTTATTGTCTGCCGGAGGAGCCTGGTGGTGTCGGGGGTACACATGGGCTGTGATCCACATGGTGGGCAGTTGGAAACCGCCAGCAGCTCCTCGGGAGAAAGACTGGGCTTTCTACTCCGGTCAACAGTTACGGAGTGTACCCACCAGGGGCGCTATGAGTCGGCATGGTCTGGATGGCAGC